CCTGCATGGGTCTGTGCTAGGTCCTTTGCACATGTGTTATGGTTGTTTAGCTTGGTTTTGTGTGTTGGGGGGGGTGGGACTCCTGACAGTGGGAGTGGGGGTGTCTCTGACTCTTTTGCTTGCTCTTGGGATCCTTTTCCTCCTACTGGGTTGCCTCACCCAGCTTGACATGAGGGTTTGTGCCTAGTCTTACTGTGTCTTATGCTGTGTTCCGTTGATAATTCTGGGAGGCCTGCTCTTTTCTGAAGGAGACTGAGGAGAAGTGGATCTGGAGGAGAGGGCAGATGGGGAGAGACTTGGAGGAGTGGAGGGAGGGGAGACTGCAGTCTGGATGTATTGTATTAAGAAGTGAATACAATTTTTAAAAATGAAAAAAAAAAAGAAAAAGAAGGCAGGCAGACAGACAAGCACGTACAATTAGGCCACGCTTAAGACTGGACTATTTGCCTGAGCAATGAAGACACTATGATGTTTCCCAACTGAACTAGAAGAGAACTCGCTAGTCAGTTTAGGACATTCACAGTGGTGAAACATGGCCACACTGCAATGCTTTTTGTTCTCATTTTGTTCTCTCCTCATTGAGAGGAGGTTCACTTTACTCTAGCATGTGGGTCATAGACACTTCTCACTGGGAACACAGAACAGCGATGTGGTCTTTCTGTATTGCTCTTTCTAAAGCTGGGTCAGAGATCAGAATTCTGTCTTGGACATTTGACTGGCAAACTGCTGAAGGTCAGGCTCCCACTACTACGCTATGGGGCTCCCCTGCTGCCTCTTGAGAGTGGATGTGGGATGGCCTATCACTTTAGTGATGGTACACTCCAGATTTGGTGTCACAAGAAAAGCAGGGGTCCCTTTCCTAGTGGTGAGAAGCAATGGCTTAAAGAACAGTTCACATTTTCGAAAGTGTATTTCTAGGATCCGGCTGGTGTCTATCTCCATTGCTCTTGCCCTTCCTATGACTCTTACCCTTGATAAGAGCATGGGTTAAATGCTGAAGGGGGAGTCTTTGATTTGTACTCAAACAGTAAAAGGTAAAGAGACCCTTTTTCTCGCTCTAAGACATGAATAGACTGCACTTGAACTGTAGACAAGCGGCAGAAGGCTCACAGACAGGCTCTTAGGAAACTCAGGCTTTGTACATGGTTCTCCTTCGACTATCAATGCTATGTGCAGCCTAATTTCATCTGTTAATGGAAAGTTAAGGATAATGTGATGCTGTAATTTTTTTTCGACAATGCTGGCTCTTTCATTTTGTGACACGTGTGCCCTTTTAAACATTGTTTATAATGATGTCTATGGAATTTTATATTCATTTGGCTAATATGTGCTATCCATAGATAATAGTCCATGAAAATGATTGCATTTTCATCATTGATATTTTCTACCTGCTAGAACAACAAGTGGTATCCAGTGTCCCCTCTGTAAGTTCTTGCTGGGTGAATTTACAGATTAGTAGAATAATGCAAATACTTTATTATTATTATTATTATTATTATTATTATTATTATTATTATTATTTAGGGAACACAATTGATGTAAAATCCAAAACTGATATATCCTCTAGAGAATAATTATGTTAAGGTATTTTGGCCCCCAGGAAAAGATCAAACACCAAGCATGAAGCTTCCACCTCTCATCTGTAAGATTGAAAACCTAATTGTGAAAGCTTCTATCCCCAGTATTTTGACAGGGTTTGAATGTGACGGCCAAAGTAAGTCGAATGACACCAGAGGATTGAACATACTAATTAAATTACCTCCTTAATAGAGAGTAGATTGAAGTTCTTCAAAGCTCACTGTATGCCTTTTAAACTCTGGCATACTTTAGACTTCTCAGGCATAGGAATATCTGAACAGTGATGTGCTGAGAAGAGTTGTACCTAGAGGATCTGGCTCTCGAGTTTGCTGGAGGCGCCGGCCTGCCCTTCAATGTGATGACTAAAATGTGTTCTACTCCTTTAGCAGCGTACTGGGTTTTCACCTCTAGAAGGTTATTTTCTGCAATTCCAAAAACCTCAAAGCTACTGAAGAAGTAGTCTTGACCTAAAACCCCTGATCTGTTTCAGCTTGTGTCATGCTAGATTCCACTGCTGGGCACAGTTCCTCTGGTTGGCACAACATGGCTTTAGGTACACACAGTGTCCTCTAGTTCTTGAATCACAGACCTCCTTTAAAGGGGCATTCTCACTATGTTTCTATATAGAGTCAGATTTTCTCCATCTGTAGGGTGTCAGGTTTGTAGGGTGGGTTGTAGCCTTCTTAAAGGTTGGTGGATGCAACACATGGAAATTGTTACAGGTAGATTAGAGTTAAAGCAAGTAGAAAGCAAGGAAGGAAATAATGAAAGCACAGAGGTGTTGCATTTTCTTTATTCAGAAACAACCAGACATCTTCCAGGCAGATGGCAGTCTATCTTCTCTGTCAAGTATGCATGATTTAGTGTGATATTTTCTAAAGTGTAAGACACCCTGTCATAAGCCCGTAGAGGGTCACATGTCAAAGGGGGCTATTTCTGGAAGCACAACAGGACCAATAGCTGGGATGATTTTAAAGTGATGACCTGTAAGGTCGTTTTCATCTTGAAAGCTTTTAAGTGAAAGTAAATTGGTTTGAGTCAGACATAAAACAATATAATATCATCCTAAAGAGTAACAAACTCAGAGTTAACAAAGGAACAGAGAAGTCACATGGGCAGAATTGGGACCCACAAAGGAAGGCAACAACTATGTCTTTCTGGCCTGGGCAAGATGCTGCTTTTACTTCCATTGTTTCTTATGGATATTGTTGCAGTATCTTCTCGCTCATTCATCAGTTTTGAGTGTTTGTTTATTCCCTTAATTCTTTTCATTCCTGGAGATGGAACCCAGGATATTGGCCATGCGATGTAAGTGCTCAGCTGTTGAGGTCATCCCCAGCCCTGTTTTTAGCTTGTGCTTTTAATTATTAACATCATTTTTGCTTGCTTTCTTTGGAATGTTGTCGTGTCTGAAAAAGACGTGTTAGCACCATTATCTTCCAACATGACAAGAAATCCCTAGAATACCAAGAAAGGGAGGAATGGCTGCAGAGTGTGGAAGAGTTCTACTCTAGGTTTGTGACTCCCTTGAAGCCTAAGACAGTTTGTTTATTTCTTTGTTTGTTTGTTGTTGTTGGTTTTTCCTCTGGGAAATTACCCAAAACTTCTCTGGGATGGAATGACCATAGATAGACTCCAGTTCAAACTCCATGGACTTCTCATTCCTGTACCATCCTGCAAGCTGGGGTTTGTAGCAAAGATGTGTCCTGAGCCCCTCGCCCTTTCAGGGGGTGAGGAAGATAGCAATAATGCATTTCTAATGATACATGGAAGCAACACATGAGCCACACCATGATGCACAAGTCCAGATGCAGAGTGGCAGAGATTCATAGCTGACATGATGATTCTCATGCCAAGTGAGTCACTGTCCTGAGCTTGCATTTATGCTTGCCTAATGGTTCAGTGCTTAGAACAATTAGATAGGGAGTGTGTTATTGCTGTTTAATTTTAGTGAACGCGGCAGCTTTTATTTAGTTTCTTCAAAGCCCTGTAACTGGTTGATGAACTCAGATTAAAATAAAATCCATATCCTTTTATCTCATTCCTCTATAGCACAGCCAAGAAATATATAAATAGTCCATGTAAAGTGAAGCTCCTATTCCCTCTTATGGAAAACAAAAATAAGAAAATGTCTCTGACCCAGTGTAGCACTGCACATACTAGCAGAACACTTTGATGTCTCTTTAACATATTTCAATAAGCTCTATGTGATACAGTATGGTAAAAAAAATCAATACCATAAGACACATGTCAATGAAATATAGACACTATAAAATAGCATAAAATTGTGTGCCCTCTGCTTAGGCCTATCTAAGCTGTTCTAGTGAGGAGAATCCTAGGGGCTGTGCGTATTGCAGGACCTCATACCCCATCTGAGCTGTTGAAACATTCAACTCTGTCAAGTGGATTAAGAGGCCATCCCAACTCTGTGCCATCAGAGGAGATCCTAGGCCTGGTGTACATCCTCACACAACAGCCTTCCTGAGAGGCTGAGCACCAGCTGGTCTCTTTAGACAAGCCTGCCCCTGCCCCTGCCCCTAGTTAACCACACTTTCCCCAGTCTGTTCCAAGGACCTGACTCACTGAGTCCCTCTGTTTCCTGTCCTTGGTAACATTTCAGTCTAAAACCTGTGAATCCAAGAAGCTGAGTTCAGATTTCCACTTGGCTACAGACTATAACGTTTCAGTCTGCGTAATCTGGTGTGGATAATTTTCTCAATTTAGAAGGAAATTCAGTACATCATTCTTTTAAAAATATTTTCAGTGTATTAACTAACTACTGATTTCTCAATACATCAATCTTTTTCTTTCAAACTTGCTGGGGCACTGGAAACTAAAACATAGGAATTAAAATGCTCCTAAATTCTTAGAAAGACAATGCAATAAAAATTACTGGCTTTTTCTAAGTTTGTCTTGGCATATTTAAGAAAGTCTCCAATTACTGTACCAGAAAGGAATGACCATTTTTCATGATGTTTTTTTTGCCATGTAATTCCTTATGGTTCATTTTCATTAAAATTCTCAGTTGTAAAACGAACAATTGACAAGTTGTCTTAAAGAAAGGTATATTATATTGTTGAATTACACTGTGAAAAACCATGTATTTACTGAGGTAGACTGATTAGGATTTCATTTAGCCCTTCTCCGTGTCTCAGATTTCAAGATGTCATGCTTTTAATGTTATCAGTGTGCTGACTTTCCGGCCATCTTGCTTGCCAATCAAATAAGAGGCAACTTCTGTGCAAATTCATGTCTTTGAAGGGTTCCAGTGTGTTAGCCACGAGTGTTACTTGATAATGGATGGTGTGATACAGGTAATTAACTATAAAGTCATTAAGACTTCTCTGTGCCCTGGCAGTTTTGTTTTCCTATTGCTGATAATGAACTTGTCAAATGTGTTTTCCTGCTTCCTGTTATTTCAGATCAGCCTTGAGTGAAATTTGACAGAAGATGTTCCCGCAGCTCGCTCTATGGAAGTGTTTACCCCATGGGATCATCATTGCCTCGCTCTTGGCAGTCAGCTGGGGCCAGTATGATGATGGTAAGTCTGCCTTTTACTCTGATCTTGATACTTAAACAAGCCTTCTCTCCCGTAATGAATATTGATTTCTAGTTATTTTCAAAGGTCTGAAGCTCTTTGTAGGAACTTAAGTGGATGAGCTTACAAAAGTGGCTGTAGATGTGTTTGATTCTCTGTAAAGATTGCAGTGTGTAGAAAACCCCACATAAAACCTCCATTTGAATACTTACTAAGGGAGTGCTAAATTGCTTTGAAAAACATTAAATTCCACTAATGCCTTTGAATGAACACAAATAGTAGTCTCTGATAAAGCCAGCAATATAACGCACAGCACATTCTTCCATGAGTCAAAAATCTGTAACCGACCATTGGAAAAGCTCTAAGTGGTTGGAGGGCTGGGGACACCACTGCACATTGCTTTATTCGATGCCTTGAGATTTTGTTTCAAAATAGAACATGTCAAAGGCTTGGTAATTGACTTAAGTCATTCCATAATAGCAATTCAGTTTACTAAAAATAAATAAGTCACCTTCAGTATCTTTCAAAGGATTCATTACATTAGGTTTGCAGTGACCAAGATATGCTTGGGTTAATGTATTTTTTTGTTTGAGTTATCAGTTTTAAATACCACACAGTGAGAATTAGGATATTATATAGATACATAAATGTGAGATATATATGTATGGTATACTTATATAAGATGCATCTATTTACATATTTGGCACATACACACACATGTGTAAGTGAAAGAGAAAATATAGGTAAATTTCCTCTTGGAATTTTAATACCTATGAATGTGTTTATTTCTTTAACTTCCTGTTGTTTTTATTTGATGTTTATTCAGCATAGTGGGAACATAAACCCTGTAGCAGCCTCTTCCTTCTTGACTTGTTACCTGGTTGGTCTCAGTAGTAACCAAGAGTGTGAAATTCCTTTGTACTCTGCCTAGCTAAGTTGACATGCCTGAAGATAAATGAGTTAGTTTGACATTTTCCAAATGTGTTCAAGTTGTTCACACATTAAGTTACCCTTGGTCCTCAGTATTTATGGAGGTGAATATCTTTTGGGATTGAAGAACAACCTATAATGTTTATTCATAAAATCAGAAGATTTACCCTGGAGTGGTCCCACTAATTAGCACTCTGTTTATGTCAAGTACATCTAAATTAAATGTTCACACTTTTTCCTTTAATGGAAAATTTAAATACCCAGTCTAAAAAAATGAATTTTAAAAAGTAGTAATAAGTAAACAGCTGCTTGGAATTTTAAAAATACAATTTAAGAGGCATTCAAGTATATTGAAGGAACACATTTTAATTGAGCTCTCAGTAACAAATCAGTGTGCCCATATTTATTTCATAAAACATTCTATTCTTATTCATATTTAACAGTCATATTGAGCAGACAAGCCATTTCTCACGTTATACATTCACAAATCACACACTTTAGTGAGGCAATTTGTGTAATGAGATGAAGCCACCCATGTTTAAAGCATAATGCTATCAATGGATTTTGTTCCTAAGCTCATTACAGCTCTTGCTCTTTTCTCAAGGGACTTGTGCAGTCTCTGTTATGGGGCCAATGTTGGTTATTGTGTAGATAAGTCCTTGAAGGACAGTGGAGCAGTGCACCTTTCTCTGCTGGCCAATGGCAAGGCTAACTCTTAAAGGCTTCAAGTCAACTGTCTGGCTCAGTCTCTGTAGCCTTCCCAGCTCACTTCTAGAGGTGAGTGACTCAATTTTAGGAAGAGACCGACTTGGTGGCCCGATGATACAAGAAAGAATGCAGGTCCTTGAGCTCTGCAGTTGTTTGATAGTGCTTTGCAGGAAGTATTTAGCTGAAAGTGTGCCTCAGTATCCCCTCTGTGCTTATGCTCCAGGAAAATTCTCATTCCTTGGCTGTGCTTCCAGTCAGACTTTTCATTCTGTCCACCTCTCACTCTTTTCAAGAATCAATGGCCCTTTGTTTTGTTGTTGTTTATTCCCCCTGAGGTATATGTGACTAAAACAAGATTCTATAGATTTTTTTTTGTCAAATTTCCATGCAAAGTCATAAGAATGAATTACCCCCATGCGTGATATCAGTAGTGAGTATGCCATGGAGAACACACAGAAGCATTTTACTGAACATGGGGTAGGGACATATTGAGGCAATGCTTATCCAGGGGTCTGTGTATAGATGCAACGTTCAAGGAGTGCAGTAGTGACATTCATAAAGAATAAAAGAAAAAGTCAGATTCAAAGATAACTTTTGCCACTGATTATTACCTGGTTTAATGAATGCCTTACAATAGTTGACAACAGATTTATATATAGGAGAAGTTTCAGGGAAGGTGGAAGGGGAAACATAATTTATCATCTTTTATTTATTTATTCATTGCTAGACAGATAAATTAATAAATAAAAGATGATAAATTTTCTGGACTTTGACTTATTTTTATGTATTCTCTTAATTAAGTAAAAGGTAAATGGAGCATTTATTTAATAAATAATTTTTTCCTAAATGGAATATTCTAGTATTATTGAAATATATAAATGCTTCTAGTAAAAATGTATTAAATATTTTTTAAAATTTTATATTCATATTTATTTTTAAAATTTTAAGTCTTTTTGTTTGAGAATTTCATACATGCATATATGTTTTGATCCAATTTAATCCCCTTTCTTATCCCTCCAAGTCCTCCATTGCCCCTCTCCCAACATTTTTCCCTCCTTACTTCATGTGCTCTGATCTTTTTGTTTGTTTTAAACCATCTAAGTCTACTTAGTGATGTCTGTATATGCCTAGATGTAGGACTATCTACCAGAGTGCGGGTAACCTCACAGGAGCTATATCCCTGGAAAAAAAATGATTCTCAATCCCCCAACAGCTATCTATGGCAAGTACTTTCTCAACTACAGATGCTGCTTCATGAGTCCCCCACCCCTTCATCCATGGTGGACTTGGTCTGGCTTGATCTTCTGCAGGTCTTGCGAGTACAGTCCCAGCTCCTGTGAGTGCATGTGCGCAACCCCACCATCATGATCAGCAAATACTACTTAGCTGCAGTCATCTATTACCTTGGGCTCTTACAATTTTTTTCTGCCTGCTCCTTTGCAATTATCCTTGACTCTTAAGGGCAGGAGGTATGTTCTAATTGTCCCATTTAGAGCTGGGCACTTCACAGTCTGTAGTTGTCTAAAGGTTGACCAGCTGTGGGGTCTCTGTATTAATTGCTGTCTACTGTAATAAATAGCTACTTTGGTGAGAGTTTGGGAGATGCACTGATTTATGGGTATAAAGATAAGAACTTGAGGGATTGTTGGCTACTATGTTCATTGAGTGGACTAATTGTCTAAGGTTCTCCCCTAGGTCCAATGACCTAGCCAGCCACTAGAGTTTTGACCGAGTTAATGGTATTAGGCATGAGTTCCATTTTCTGGAGCAGGCTTTAAATCCAATTAAAAAGTGGTTAGTTCAACCTGCAATCCATAGCTCCAGAGAGGCTAGATAGCAAGGAGGGCACAAAGAGGGACACATGGATTTGCCTGGGAAGGGGAAATAGAAGAGATCTCCTGGGTAAACTGGGGCCGGGGAGAAGAGGATGGGAACTTGAGGGAGTGGGTTGGGCAGGCTGGGAGTAAGAGTCAAGTTGAGAGCCAGATGGAGGGGAAGAGTAATAAAAGAGATATCTGGGTAGGGCTGGGGGGGACCATTTCAGGGTTAGGGAGAAACCTGGTGCTAGGGAAGTTCCCAGGAATCCACAAGGATGACCCCAGCTAAGACCCCTAGCAATAGTGGAGAGGGTGCCTGAGCTGGCCTTCTCCTGTAATCAGATTGGTGACTACCCTGATTGTCATCAGAGAACCTTTATCCAGTAACTGATGGAAGCAGATACAGAGATCCACAGCCAAGCACTGGGACAAGCTCTGGGAGTCCAGTTGAAGAAAGGAAAAGGGATTGTAGGAGACAGGGGGGTCAAGGTCATGATAGGGAAATCCACAGAGACAGCTGACCTGAGCTCTTGGGAGCTCATGGACTCTGAACCAACAGTTAGGGAGCCTGCATGGGACTGACCTAGACTCTCTGCATGTGTGTGACAGTTGTGTAGCTTGGTCTGTTTGTAAGACTCATAGCTGTGAGATCAGGATCTGTCTCTGGTACTTAGCAGACTTTTGAGAACCTTTTCCCCATGCTGAATTACCTCATCCAGCCTTGATGCAGGGGGAGGAACTGGGTCCTTCCTCAACTTAATGTGCCATGCTTTGTTCAAGCCCATAGGAGGCCTGCTTCTTTCTGAATGGAGACAGAGGAGGAGTGGATGGGGAGGGGGTTAGATAGGAGGTGGGTGGGGGAGACAGGAGGAGAGGAGGGAGGAGAAACTGTAGTAAGTATGTAAAATAAGTGGAAAAATGTTATTAAATAAAACAAACGTTTTTTTAAAAGTGGTTGGTTCTCTTATAATATTTGTGCCCTTCTTGAACCAGTGGCCCTATTTTGGAAGGCCGGTCACTGTAGTGCACAGGGTTGACAGTTGGGTCAGACTGTTGGTTATTTTTCTTTCCTAGTAGCATGAATGTGCATGATACCTTCTGGCATCGCAAAAGCTAGCCAGTAGGGATGAAGCTTCTAGGGTTGGTACCAGCTTAACTTACCCCTTCTCATCTTATCAACGGGATATGTGTTCAATGCATTAGAAATGTGTTGATCAGTTATTCCACAGTAGCCATATCATCTATTACTCCATATCTAGGCAAGTATTAATAACACAGATGAGGTAAAGAACAGTTCTTGAGAGTAAGAATTGTGAATTTACTTAACAAATAGAGCAAGTAGAAAATTGGAGACTATAATTAACATTCTTCTTATGTTACATTATGCATGTTAGCTAATGGCCAGGCTTGCTGTTTTGTATATTCTTTTCTGATGGTGAGGGATCTTGTATGTCCTTCTATCCCCAAGACAGAGTTTTAAAATCTGAAAGCACATGGCTATTTCTCTCTCTTTTTTGGTTTCTATAATATTTTCCTAGCAATCAGTTT